AGAGGGGCCGGTGGTGACTGTTGTCTTCTTGATTCTGTAGGAGAGAGAATCTGCTCTTGTGGAGAGAGGAAGTAAGTGGTGGCATGAGACCTTGAGTTGAGGCCCCCAGATTCCAGTCTGGTTTTCCTTCTCTAACACCACGCTGCCATCACCTCCCTCACCCCAAGCCTGCCTCTCTGAAAGTGGTGGCTTATGTAGATGAGGCTGTTGGAGGGCTCAGCTGACTGCCTTTTTTCCAAAGTCAGGAGCAACAGGGGTCTGGACTCCTGAAACTCTGCTTAGCTCTCCTATGCTAGGAATTGTGTCTGTCCTGCTCGGGAGGAAGAGGTGGATGTTCTGTGTCCTCCCTGTATGTAGGGCACGGCAGTCCTTGCTTGAAGGTTGTTGTGAGGACTGAATGGGATGATGCAGGCAGGGCCCCCAGCACAAGGTCTGGAGCACAGAGGAGGCCCTCAGTGGTGAGAGATGCCGTTACCATCCACATCCCATTAGGCTGTGATACCTGTCCATGCCAGACCCTAGTTTGCTTCTTGTTCCAGACCTCCAAGCCAGGTTGAGTGCCACCTGAGGGGGAATAGATGCCCTGTTTGTGCCATGGCCAGGAGCTGCAGGCCTCTTATCCTTCCATAAGGAGTGTGGGGGGGTGCTTCGCTGGGCTCTGCCCTGATTGGACACCCTCTGTTGGGGCTTCAGGAGGTAGAAATCCTAGCGCCTCTCCCACGACTGTGGCTGTGAGGTGGCTGCCTGCTCACAGCTGGAGGAAGGATATGGGGCTGCAGGGTGTGCCTGTTTTTCACAACTCGTAAAGCCATCAGAAGAGCACAGATCATGTTTTTGTTTCTCCAGAAGTTCTTCATGAAATTTTATTAAACCTGTTGGCGCTCAGAACGTACTAAAAATTCTCTGGAAAAAAAAAGCAAACGACTTCCAAATTTAACATTTTAAAAGTAGGAAGTGGTGTTTTATGTGTACTTGTTTTTCCAGATGGTTCATTTATTTTCATTGAAAAAGATCAGCACAAGTCAAAACCACAGAACTGTCTGGAAGCAATTGAGAAAAATAGAAATACCTTGCAAGTGACTGGCGCTGTTACGTGTAACGTGATTAAATGAGAAGTTTAGTGAGCAAACATGTTCTTTCAGATTTAGTTGTTACAGCTTAATCTAATTTCAAAGTAACCATGACAACTTTTTCCCCCAAAGAGCAAATGACAGGCCAGCCTGCCTGCGGTGTGTGCTGCGAGCAAACACACGGGTGCTGCGGCTTTGTGCATCATGCAAGTCGCAGGCCTGGAAAACTCGCAGAACTTGCGTAGCATTGTTTCGGCTCCCTTGCCTAATGGGTTTTTACTAAATGACTAGTCCAGTGCTCCTGGATGCTCTTGAAAAATGGTTTTAAACTGTATTTCTTCCTTTCCCCCCAAAACATTGTTTGAAGCTTGACAGAGATCTGCATCATGCTCTCCCAGAGGTCGTGAGAAATGGAGATCTGAGTCCCGTGTGAGGACTTCTCGGCCCATATTTTAACTGCCCTGGTGGGGAACATCCGGTTCTCTCATCAGACCCACTGGGCTTTGGGGAGAGCTGTAGGGGGCTCTAGGTCATGCTGTTTCCAGCACTGATTGGCGACTGTGGCCTAGTGGTTTCTTCTCAAGTACCTGAAATTGTTAACAATGCCTGGGCGAGTTTGTTTACACTTATCTGGGAATTGTCTAGTCCTTTCTAAAGAGAATTCAGACTGTCCTCTAAGACAGGATTTTGTATGGATGTAAATATATATTAGTGGAAGGTAAATAAATGTGTCAAAAGATAGTAGTTCGGACATTTGTGGAGTTCTTGGCCACGCACTCAACTGCTAAGTGCGTATCAGAATCCTAGACTATCAAAGTGAGAAAGGACCCGAGAGATCGTCTGTTCCATGTGCATCATCTTTTAGATGAGGAAGCTGAGGCCTGATAAGAGGTAGCGCTGTGTGCAGGTTCTCACAGCTAATGGGGGCCAAACTGCCCCAGACCTGCAGGCTCCTCATTCCTGGCCCACTGTTCTTTCCACTTCATCCCACTGCCTCCTTGATCAGAGTCCCGGGAGATCTGCTGTACACATTGGTAATGTACAAATGAGCCTTGTGTTATGAAATTATACACATTTGCACTAAGATGCAACTTCATTATTTCATAAATTTGGCCAATCTGGAATACAATAGTTACAATAAATATAAACATATTCATAAAACATATGGCTCACTGCTGTAGAATTTAGAAGAGCTAACTACTGGATGATGATTTTGGATGGCCCATCCATGTCTAAAAAAATAAAAAAACAAAAAACCCAAAAACCCTGTCCAAGTAGATTAGAGCAGATGTTTCTTTTCCTCTCCTTCAATTCATTATAGAAGGCAAAAACATTAAAATTCATCCTGTTGATAATTTTTTCCTAAAGAAACCGTTTGAACGTTTAAATATCCGAAGGCAATCTCTAGGATTTTAGTTGTAATGAGGGTTTTGGAAAGATGGGCTCTTTGTGAGTCTGAAATCCTCCTATCAGTCTTCCCTCCTTGTCCTGTCCCTAACCCTTTCCCATGTACATCTTATCATGGTGAGCTTTTGTTATTATTGCTGATAAGTATTCTCTTTGCTTGGTGTGTTCTTATTTAATTCTACCATCTCAGCTTCTTATATTCTTTCATTCTTTGAATATGTATTGGGAAAGTGAGAAGATAATAGAAGAAGGGAGTTTGAAGGAGGGAGAGTCAGTGCGGGGAGGGAAGGAAAAGAGAAAGAAAAATGAGGAAAAGAGTGAACTACATCGACCAGAAGCTGTGGTCCAGGATGGTAGAAAGAACACAGGACACTAAACACAGGAGGCAGGAAGCCTAGTTTCCTGCTGACCACTCTCCCTCAGTCTCCTGCTTCCTTCCACCTAATCCTTACCCTGAGTCTTGCCCCACCATCCCTCTTTCCCTATCTCTTTTCTCTCCTATACCATGGCTCTGAGCATTACTCAATGGCTAGCTTCCAGTTTCCCATGTCCCTCCATCATCTCTCAAGCCCACATTTCAGCTGCAGGATGCCTCCCTCCCCTCTTCATGTGATGCCGTGATCAAACTCACCAGGTCTAAAGTTGCTCTCACCCCTCTCCTTCTTCTGCCCCTCTCCTATCCCCCATTCCAGGAGAGCCTCCTTTTGACATGCTTATTTTTGTTCAGTCACTAGGATTTGCCCCATGACCTTGCCTCATGGGCACCTTCCTCTCCCTCAAACTCAGCTGCGGAGTTTTGATCTCATCCTGATCCTCACGCTGTCCTACCCAAGAGCCCAGCACTCTCCAACCACTTCTCCACTGGTCTTGTCCACTGCTGCCCCATTCATCTTTCTAAAGTGGCTGATCCGTTGAAGTCTGGCCCTCTAACCTGAATTCAAAACCTAGGGCTATCTAGCTGCCATCCACTTTTCTTTCCTGAGACTCTTTTCCACTGTGTGACCACCAACCAAGACTCGCTGCCCCCAGCCCACATTGTGCCTCTCACTTCTGTGCTTTTGGTGCTTTCTTCCCTCTACCTGGAGTAGGCTCTCTCCATGCCCACCTGTGGAAACACCTCCTGCTCAGCCTTCAGGCCCTTCCGAGAGGGGAGCTGCTGCCCAGTCCTCTTTCTTCTCCCCACTCAGAGGCGATGTCTTTTATTCCTCTTTGATTTTAACTGTTTGGTATTACTCATATAGCATCTGCGTGCTACCTTAGAGTAGAGTAATTTACATTTAATCCTTATCTCCTAGAACCCAACCTCTTTGAGAGAAGGCCCTTTATGTAATACATCTTCGTATCCCCTGAGGCACTAAACCTTAGGATTGCCACGTAGTAGATGTTCAAGGAATTTTGTGGAATGGGTGAACAAATGCAGAAATGAATAACTGACTTTGAGATTGGGCAGTCACCTCTCTAGGCCTTTGTTTTTCCATCTGTCAAGTGAGGGTTCGATTACATGATCTTTAAGGTTCCTTTTTAACTCATCTCACATCCAGGTTTAAAGTTAATTAAAAGATTTGGGGGCCGGCCCCGTGGTGTTGCAGTTAAGTTCCGGCGTTCCATTTCGGTGGCCCAGGGTTCGCTGGTTCGGATCCTGGGCGTGGACCTACTCACTGCTCATCAAGCCATGCTGAGGTGACATCACACATAGCAGAGCTACAACTCCACAACTATGATACACAACTCTGTACTGGGACTTTGGGGAGAAAAAGAAAAAAAAAGAAGATTGGCAACAGATGTTAGCTCAGGGCCACTCTTCCTCAAAAAATAAAATAAAATGTTTGAAATATCTGTTTGAGTTTTATTACCATGTTTCTTATATAGAGCGGGCACCATTAGGAAGTATATATATGCATCATTGACATGTTTTCCTGGCTCACACACTGATTTTTCTCTCTCCTAGGTTTACAAGTTGTCCTGAACTCCATTATAAAAGCCATGGTCCCCCTCCTTCACATCGCCCTTTTGGTATTATTTGTAATCATAATCTATGCTATTATAGGATTGGAACTTTTTATTGGAAAAATGCACAAAACATGTTTTTTTGCTGACTCAGGTGAGTGATGAAAATGGTAGCTAACCTAACTCTAAAAAAATTTGGTTTTTCCCAAAAAAACCTTCTGTGGTTTTGGGAAAATCTAAAACAAAATGAGAGGGGGAAAAAAAAGCACCAAATATACCAGTAAATCTACTGAGCCAGTTCTTAGTAAGAATTGTGTAAAGTATAAATGAGAATTTAATCTCCTTTTCTATCCTGATTTCCCATGTAATGTGTCCTGCTAAACAATATGATGGGCCCCCAAAACTAGAACGTGAGGTGAATCAATAGCATTGTTGTGTATAGGCTTAGGAAAGGTGCTGTAGGTGAGGACAGGGGAGAGGGCAGTGGATTCTGAGTAGAGGACATGGCAGATTCCATGGAGGAGGGAGTATTAGAAGTGAACCCTGAAGGACAAGTAGGATTCTGAGACAGCGTAGATGGGAAGTAGGGTGTTCCAGGCTCTGGCAAGGGTACTCAGCTTCTGCTTGCTTGGGTTTCCTGATATTCCTCCCTTGAGTGGTGAAGCCTTCTTGATCTGTTTGCAGATATCGTAGCTGAAGAGGACCCAGCACCGTGTGCGTTCTCAGGGAATGGACGCCAGTGTACCGCCAATGGCACAGAGTGTAGGAGTGGCTGGGTTGGCCCAAACGGAGGCATCACCAACTTTGATAACTTTGCCTTTGCCATGCTCACTGTGTTTCAGTGCATCACTATGGAAGGCTGGACAGACGTGCTCTACTGGGTAAGCAGCTGGAGGAGAGAGTTTCTGGAGCATTCTTTGCTTAGATAAAAGTGTTTCATTAGCTAGAGCCATTGGAGAGTTGGCTGAAAAAGAAACCCTGGAAGCCAGTTCTTTGGGAAGGGAAGCAGACCCTCTCTTCACTCAGCAAGACCCATCATCTTCCCCCTCAGGGCCTTAGTTTCGGTTCTAGGAGGCTGCTGTATAATCTTGGCTTCCTCTGTTCCCCACTGCTGCCTGGGGAATTGTGGCTGAGTATGCCCAATTAGTCCCTTTTTTGGAGGAACTCCAGAAGGCCAGGGCTATCCTGATTAAACTCTTAGAGAACCAGGGGTCATTTTCCAGGTTAAGAGGCTCCTGGACTTCCATGGGCTAAAATTGATCTTTTGTACATAAAGGCAGGTTGCTCTACTAGATCCTGCTACTAGATCCTGAATGGAAGATAGGGAATATAAATTGGATCATTTTCCTTCTCTCCATAACTTAGTACAGCCTTAAAGCCAAAAGGCTTTTCCCCCTATTACAGTCTTTCCCTTTTGCATCTTCAGTTTCACTGTAAATCAGCCCAGCACAAGCCCTTAGCTCTCTCTTCCTTTCTCTTTGGAGCTATAGAACTCTGGCAGAGAGGGTAGAAATGGCATGTCAAGCTTCCAGGGCTGGGGGACCCATCTAACCTGCTGTGAAAACAGGTGGACACCCTTTCAATGGCGAAGGTCTGGTTCTTCTCGTTCCTTACAGGGCCAGAAGGGTTTGCTATAAATGAAGAGCAGTAGTATTTTAGCAGCCATTTCCCAGAGCTGAGTTTATTTGCTGTTAAAAGGCAATTAGTAATAAAATGCCTCTTGAATGGGCAGCATCTAGTTAGAAGGCCTGCAGAGTGGTGAGAAGTAGCTTCTGACAGTATCTAAATTTTAGACACTTTATAGGATTTCTTATTACTCTATAACTTCAGAGGCCATAGCATTTCATGGTTATAAATAGGTTTTTGCTGTTAGTGTTTTGCTTCCCTTCAGCAGTGAACACCATACTCACAGGATTGTAGAAGTCCCTATATATTCAATGTTAGGCAAAAAAGGTATGTTTTTATTTTCGTCCCCAAAGTGTGAGTCTAGTTTGGTAATGAGGTTTAAGTATCACCAACATGTTATATCTTGTTTCTCCCTTTCCCCCTCCTTTTTCTTATTGTCATAGGAGAGTGTGTGTGTGTGTCTGTGTGGGTATGCACATCTGTTGTTTATATCCGTAAGACAATGCCTTTCATGAAGAGGAAGAAGGAGGGAGATTGTATTGGATGAGCCACGACCATGGCCATGCAAGGGGACCCTCAATTAGGTAAAGGGTTCGTTTTCACTATTATCTTCTAAGTGGCAACTCCTAGTCATGTTAGTTGAGGTCTCAATCCCAGTCTTCCCTTGAAGTTGCTGATAAATAGAAAAGGCATCATCCGGATAGCCCAAACTCTGATCCTTCCCCTGCAAACAGTAAAGGAAAGAACATTTCGATTTGTTTAAAAAATAAAAATCAGTGACTCCTCTCAGCTCTGTTTCTCTGTTGTCATGGTGAATTGTCCACTGCTGATCCAACACGCCTTGACTAATGGACAATTTTATACTTTATGTTTTATTTCTGCACATTGATTCTCTCATGACAGTTTTCCTATTGTCACGCAAGTGAAAACTCTGGGAGTGTGCAATTAGAGAGAAAACTCCACACACCCAGAAACAAAAGTTTCTTGAGAACCTTTAAGTATCACCTAGGAGCATATAATTATTGTCTCTATTGTTAATATGACAATCACAGAGTTAATAATTTGACAATATAATAATTATATTCGCTATGTATTACGTGGCATCTTTATTCCGATGGAGGAACTCAAGTAATTTATCAACATTATCGCAGTCTATATCCCTTAATGGAAGATCTGGGAAACAGTGGAGTATAGAGAGACCACTGAACATCCCCAGGGTCCTCCAGCAGGTGGTTGTGGCCCTTGATCCAGAACAGAGGCCTATAGACTATTTTTTATTAAGGGGCCAGATAGTAAATATATTTGGACGTGCAGACCATAATGTGTCTGTCACAAGTACTCAATTCTGCCCTCTGCCCATGTTGCTTGGAAGCAGCTATAGACAGCATGAAAACATGTGGGTGTAGCTCTGTGCCAATAAAACTTTATTTATGGACACTGAAATTTGAATTTTGTATAATATTCATGTGTCATGAAATATTCTTTTGATTTTTTTTCAACCATTTGAAAATATAAAAGCCATTTTTAGCTCAATGGCCGTACAAAAGCAGGTGGCGGGTTGGGTTTGGCCCACAGGTCATAGTTTGGTGACCCCTGGTCTAGACTAGAACCCAGCACTCTTTCCTTGGCATCTTTCTACTGTCAGAGGTTTGTGAATCCTTCTAGAACACTAGGGGGCAGCTAAGTAATGTCTTCCAGAGTGTTCACTAAGATCTTAGTCTCTGAAACACATCAGGTTGTTTTAAAGTACATGTTGATTACGTTTATTAACTCATCGTAGTGAGAGGCAGGAGCCAAGGCACCAAGCCTTCTTAATATGTTATGGGCCACGATCAGCTGGAAGCCACATGGCTGTGATCCAGAACAGACCATCCCTGCCCAACACAGTGCCTGACACAGAGCAGGTGCTCAACAGATGCTAGTTACCGTTACTCTTCAGTGTACAATCCCATTGCCTCAGTGTAGATGGGCCATGTTTATATATTAATTTCTATCCATAACTAGAGTGTAAAGGGAATATCTTGAGGGATAACCAAGGAGATAGAGTTTAAATATTGATTGCAAGCACATTTCTTAATCCTTTAGGTGTTTGTATATGGTGGATAAAGTCTTTCCCAGGGATTGTTTTGCATCTTGTCAAGTTTATATTCAGTCAGGGTTCTCAAGCTCATTGATGCCTCAGTTCTCAAGAGTGTCTGGCAAATGGCTGGCAGGGTCTTGAGAACAGAAGTACAGGTGGACCCAGTATGCAGAAAGACACACTTAGAACCATTTGGATGTGTGGGGAGTGGGATTATTAACTTCCCATGGAAAAAAGTTATTGTAGAGCTTTTTTCTAAAGTGAGTTCCATAAACGTAATTATGCTGCCATCTGACCCACCCGTATTTGGTATCTACAGAGGCAGGAGGGTGTAGTGCAAGGAAACAGTATTAAGGCTGGATAGGGCTGGCTGTGTGACCTTGGGTAGGTCACCAAAACTCCCTGGGTTTTAATTTTCTTGTCTACAAGATGCAGAATTAAACCACATGATCTGATTTTTTTTTCTTCAACTCAGATAAATGTAGGAAATTAATTAGAGTAGTGTTGATTTCAGGAGAGAGCTACCCATGTAAATCATTTATGGCCTCTGGCCTTAGCACCAAGCTCGTGCCTCAGTGAACACACCTGTGGAGGTGCTGGCTGTCAGACTCTAACAGGAAGTTCTCATGGTCAAGCTGATAATCTGCTTCATTCAAGGCACCTGGGAAATTCCTCTCGTTAGCCAGCCAAGGGCTTGCCTTTCTGCGCCTTTCTCTTGTTCCATGCTCAGGGGAGCTACAACCAGTATACCAAGTTTCCAGTAGTGTTTTCAACAGTTGGAAAAAACAAAAAGCCTTAGATTGGCCTTTAATTGGAGACATGAACGTGCATTTCAGCCTTTGAAATGAGGGAAAACTGAAATTAAATAGAATATTATTTCTTGGGCACCTGGTGCCACCACATAATGACTTTGGTATAAATATTTTAAAAATTAATAATCTAAATTGAAATGTTTCAGCTCATGCTGATGTCTTCATTGTTGTAAAGACCATGCAGACAAAACCCCAAGCAGAGTCTCTATTTTCATATGGGTATATTTGGGAACAGCTGACCAATTCTGACTTGGGCTATGCATATGGTAAGGTCTAAGAAATACTAGTCTCTGAAAAGAGATGGGTTGAGAAGGTTTAGTTGGGAGAAAGACTGGCCCTCAAAGCTTCTGTTTTGTTCCTCTTCCCCACCTTCTGGAGATTTAGAGTCTCCTGTGGTGGCCTTTGTTTAGTCCAACTGTCCCCAGCCCCCAGCTGTCATTACGTGTGATAGTTCTGATCTGAGCAAATGTGAATCTGTGGAACACCTACTCCTAAGAAATTAAGTTTCTTTAATTAAAAAAAAAGCTCCCTCCCTAGTGGAGCAGACAGCTGTTCCTAGCGCCATTCTCTGGAACACGAGACTGAGGCCTGAATGAGGATGGGTGAAGCAGATGGCTCGGCCCACTGACTCTGCCTGAGGTGTAGAAGAGCAGGGTCTCCTGGCGGGAGTCCTGGACTTGCACGTCCTTCCCTCACCCCGTGAGCACGCTCTCCCCATCGTACGCACTCCTGCTCCAACAGAGGAAACAGGCCCAGAGGGGCCTCTGTGGAAGCTCTTGACTCCAGGCTGGGCTCTGGCCACTACACCAGGCAGCCTGTTTCTTCTCCTCCACACATGGGTTTTTAAATAAGTTTAGTGGTGTAGTTGCTTTGGAAGAATTACCCTCTGCCTTCCTGCTGAAATTAGTTTATCCAACTTAATTAGATCAACAATTGCAGCCGCGGCCCTGGCTCATTCATTACTCTAATTGCCAATGTAAGATGTGCAGACTGATATGAGTTCTATTAAGCACATCAATTTTCATGTGGCCAAACAGGTGTTTCATAAGGGATTTAATGCCCTCTCTGTAGACTTCAGCAACAGATGTTAGGTAATTTTTTTTTTTTAATGTTCTCTCTTCCTGTTTGGCTTCTGCGTGAGGCAAACATAGTGAAATGCATGAGCCTCATTCTGTAAAGCTAAAACCTGGAGCCAGATAACGTGGAGGAAAGCACATGCTTAAAGGCCTAAGGGCCTGCACCTACCTGCAAGGCAAGAGCCGTGAATTGGCCCAGACTATGTATAGTTCTATTGGCCAAAGGTTCTGGGTGTTCCAGCAAAGTCAGGCCTGGGTCATTCATTCTGTCCCCTGCCTGTTCCTTAACACCTCCTTCCTGGGAGAAGGGTTTGCCCATTTAACACTGACTTGTGCTCCTGGAAAATTCCATCCAGCCGTGACCCTTAAAGCACTTGTTTGCTCCACTGTGAGAGCTGCTCGTGACCCGACTTGCCCTGGGAGGGTCTGTCAGGGAGGAGATGTCTGACTGTGCTGCATGAGCTTGTCCCAGAAGTAGGGGCACTGGGTTTTCTTTCACCTGTCATCCCAGTCAGCTCCCAGCGGGAGCCAGGTCTCCTGGGGTAGGTCATCTAGGTCAGAGCTAGGTGTGGACACTAAGAGCTTCTTTCCTTCTCCTGGGTCCTTCCTGTGGGTGCAGTGGGGAAAAATCTCATTCGCCAAAGAAACCTTGAATATGTGTCAGCTAGTTGACTTCTGAACACTTTTCTTCTTTGCAGTAATTTAGCTATGCTTGCACTCCCTGCTTGCAGATAATTCAGATTTAAGGTGGGTTAGGTTTCCTTGAATAGGTTGTCTTCTAAGGGAAAGTTATTATTTTAGGGTTTTTTTTTAAAGTAAAGAATTTAGAGAGTCAAGTGTTGCAAGTTTGTCTCTATAACTAAGACTTTTACACCGTCACAAATTTTAGAAGCAAAAAAAGTCCTCACAACTTGGGCAGAGTGGAAAATAGTTTCCAGCTAAGCACTGGTTTTGTCCTCTACCAAGATCTTCCTGAAAATCCCTCATCAAGGCAGTTTCCTGTGAGAAAGAGCCAAATCCCAGCTGATTTTTCTACCTATGTCAAAGTCTGCTATTATTTGCCCTGAAAGCTTGGATGACTCTTCGTGTGTGTGCGTGCGTGTGAGCACGTGTGTGTGTGTGTGTGTGTGTGTGTGTGTTGGGAATATATAATGAATGTGCATTGGCTACTATTGTCTCTGATTTGAATCTAAGTAAACGTTTAATTAAATGTATAGAATGCTGTCTCTAATGTGACCCTCTCTCCTTATTAGATTCTCTTATTAACCCACTCCTATGAGACCATCTTATTTCTTGCAGATGAATGATGCTATGGGATTTGAATTGCCCTGGGTGTATTTTGTCAGTCTCGTCATCTTTGGGTCATTTTTCGTACTAAATCTTGTACTTGGTGTATTGAGCGGGTAAGCTACACCTCTTTCATCTTGAAAGCAGAGTCCTGAGGACAGTTGCCAAGACCACACAGGCTTTGCTACATGGGGGCCCCCGGGTGGGTGCCAAGCGCTTTATGAGTCGTTTGAGATGCTTTCTTTTCTGCTGAGGCTTCCTAAGTCAAGATGTTTCCTGGAACCTCACCAACCTTCGTGAAAGAAAGCTATAGAATGATTATTGACCAGAAATTAATCAGCATTGTTACTTGGGATTTAAATATAAGTTTCCATTGCATGCCCTTTTGTCTGTCCTAAGATGAGATACATTTATAATTGCTTTATTGGTCTGGATCCAAATACAGTGCAGATTAATTGGTACAAAACAGTAGCTAAATGAGCTGGCCCTGGCTGACTTTTGGTAGGCCGCATTCATAGATTTCAGCAGCAGGACTTATTTGAAGACAAAACAACGGACCGCTGGGCGGGGTCCCTGTCCTAGGAGCACTACCCTTCAGTCAAAGCCCTGAGTGGTCTGGCAGCTGCTCCTGGGGCTCCGCTCTTTAGTAAATGGATAACTGATAACTGATCTCCTTACATTTTACAGGTAAATGATGCGATAGGATGGGAATGGCCATGGGTGTATTTTGTTAGTCTGATCATCCTTGGCTCATTTTTCGTCCTTAACCTGGTTCTTGGTGTCCTTAGTGGGTAAGCAGTTGGATCCATGTTGCACCTTCTGCTGCTGCCACGTGTGAGGCAGCTCTGCGTGTCTCCCAGCTGCTCCCTGTGGCTTCTCTGCATGCCTGTGGACTCTGATGTCCCCTCTGTGTGTTGCTTTTGGATTGAACTGTGATTCTTTCTGCCTGTATCTGTCTGTGAGATTCTCTGTTTCTGACGCTTGCTAAACACTATTAATTTAATGAAAACGTTTCCCTGAAGCCAGCCACATTTGTATGCCAATGTGTAGAAGTGGATTGCAAGTGAGTAAAAGGATTCCCAGCCTTGGTCTCCCCAGGAAAGGGCCTTTGTCTTTTGTGGTTTTCTTCCCATTGGTACATAACCTGGCCCTTTTAGGTTACCCACAGTGTGTCATGAATATTTCCAGTGGTGTTTCAGATTTCGTTGTGAAGGAGAAATAAGCCTAGATTAGCACATAAATACTGAACAAAATCTTACATCCTTCAGATCAGGATCATTTATTAGCTTGGTTTTCTGCTGCTGTCACTGTGAGAATTTTCCCTCAAAATCATTTTTAATCTTAATTGTAGAGTCTTTGTTTAATGCAGGGTAATGATCAGCTTTTGCACATACATTTCCCCTGGGCTCATCATTGTCCTTGTCACTCAGTCACCATTTTTGAAATTTCATTTTGTTTACCACCTCAGCTCTGTGGATGGGCTCTCCATAAAGAGGGTTTGGTGGAGACTGGGTCGGGAAGGGGTCTCCTGGTGTTTCTGGGCCCTGTGCTGCCTGTAGATGGAGATGCCATTCCAGAGCTCCTTTGGGCAGCGCTGCATCCTCCCCATCCCACAGATACCCCAGAAAGGGGAGTACCCCAGAGAAGGGAGCTGGGGCTGTCTAGGCTCTATCAGAAGCAGCTCCAGCATATAACCATTGCTGGGGGCCTGGGGGTGCAACAGGAGGCCCAGGAGGTGCCCATCTCCCCTGGAGGAGCCTTTGTCACTCCCTGAGCCCAGACATCCTCAGGAAATACTGTTGATAGACTTGATTCCAAGTTGATAGACTTGATTCCAAGTGAGTTTATCTCCTCCTCACTCACTTTATCTTCCTCTTGCTGAGCTTGTATCTCGGGCAAGTGATGTCTTCATGTATGCTGAGTCAGTGAAGAGACTTTGATCGCATTTTTTCTGAACACTGCCATCACCAGAGCAGAAAGCAGAGCTAGTTGTCTATCTCTGCTTCCTCTCCTCATCTTCCCTCTAACCTGCCTGCCTGTTTTCAGGGGATTACGCATTTGGAATTTTCCTTGACAGAGTGGGGTCAGTTTTACACCATGGACACACACTGTCATGTGAAGCCTCTATCTAGAAATGGCCAGGAGCTGGCGCCCCACAGTGGGAGGAGTGGGGGTGCCGAGACTGAGCTGAGGATGTGACAGTGTACCCCCCACCCCTACCAAAGCTTCCTTCTACAGATAAATGGCTCCTCAACCCTCATGTTCTTCCACTTAAAACTTTAAAAGTACCTTCCTCCTAATAAACCTCTGTGGCCTTAGGTTAGTGTTGGGATTGTAAGGGTGTAATTTATCCCTAGAGAAACAGCGTTGTGCTTGATTTTGCCACAAGAACGGCCCGTACAAGGTTAATAGCAATTCTGTTGTGAATTCCTTGGCGCCCCATGTCTCCTAAACCTAACTAAACTGACTGAGGCCATGGAAACCACTAATTTTAACAGTGCCAGTGACATGCCTTATCTCTGAACTTCCCAGAGCAGGAACCATCGCCCTGCATGATGAAGCTGCTTAAAAAAGAAAAAAAGAGAAGCTGGGAGGAGAGGCTCCTCATTATAATGGTGGGGTTAAATATGCAACCCCATGCGGGGGCTACTCAAAGTTGGAGGAGAAAAGAAAGGCACATACCCTCATGGAACAACGAATATACTGAAATATACTTTGGGGAAAATAATTTAATTAGTGATTTAAAAACATTTTTGTATGAAAACTAGAACACTTATGAAGGAGAATGCAAATGACACATGAGTTTTTAAAATAAAATCCAAGACTTCCCGGTGATATTCAGTGTCAGTTCATGCTGTGCCCCCACTCCCGGGGGCTGTGCACTGACTCGACTCCACCCGTAAGGCTGCTGTGGTAGAAAGTGCTGAGGGGACTTTGTGTAAAGTAAGAGCTTCCTCTGCAAAACAGAGCCTCTCAGCCGTGTTCACTGATTTAACCAACATTTCCTGAGTTCCTGTTGAGTGCCGGCTCTGGGCCAGAGGCCAGGGGTGCCAAGATGTCTAAGACGCAGCCGGGGCCTTGTGCACAGACATTCATTGTCTAGTGGGGGAGACTGTGGTTGAGCAGTGCAGGATGGCAAGGCTAGAGTAGAAGTGTAGACCGAGGGGCTGTGAAAGCCACGTGTCTATGAGCTGGATCTTGAAAGATGATAAGGTGTCTACCAGGGGAAACCAGTGACAAGCTGACGTGCTCCCACCTCTCCTAATAATTCTTCTCTGCCTGGCTACAATCCCCTGACCTTCCTCCAAAGCAACAAAAAGTCAAAATGGGTCATTTGTATTCATTTACTTGTTAAAGCAAATTTGAAATATTTTTATTTTAATATTAGGCTTCTTCACAAATTTTTTAGGGAACACTAGAGGGATTACAAAACTAGAAGATGTAACTGTTAAAAGGAAGATGACTTATGTTGCAAAGTCTCTTAAGGACCATCAGACCAACAAAAACAATCCTAAAAGCGCTGAATTTTAGAAATTTAAGACCATGCTATTGCTTTCTGATGAAGAATCATTAAATGATGCTGTGTGTCTTTAAGTCTGTTAATCATTTGGAAATATTTGTTTTTGCTCCTTGGCTCTTTTTTGTGTGTGGCCATGCCATCCTATTGTATTCTTGAACTGATTTTAATCTGCACATTTGGGTTGGTGTTGGTACATTTTTAAAGCATTATAGGACTGATGCTTTGGAAAAATCTTTGGTTTTACAAGAGACCCTTTTTCTCAAGGTGAGTATGAAGTTTATCAACTGTCTACTCTGTGTGGCCAACCATGAACAGAGATGAAGACTTTTAGCTCTGATGATAGTGTTCTGTGGGAGGAGCTGAGAATGTTTGTAACTCGTGTTGCGATATCACATTAAGTTGTCATTGAGGAGATGGTCCTGTTATGACCGGGGGTTGGAAAGAATGTCTCATTTCAGTCTACAATTCAGACGGATTATTTCTCCTCTCATGCTGGCTTTTTAGAATGGTGATTTTTCACTTTTGTAATTGTTCATTTAACTCCTTGTCTCTTTTGAGGTTTTTGTCAGTAAATAGGCAAAATAAGAGAAGACAGTGTTTCAGCGCTTTGTTTCTTTAGAATCACTGCCAGATTCCCCGAGGGAAAGTGGTGGTCTTGCGCAGTGGGCTCACTTCTTCACCTGCAGGACCCACCCAATGCCAGGCACACCTGCGGTAAGGTAGAGGGCCCTCTACGCCCCCGAGGTGTGGTTCAGACCCCCAAGAAGGGCCTGGCAGATGAGAAGGGAACTAGAAGACCTGGGTTCTTGTCTCGCCAGTGTCATGCACTAACTCGGGGACTTCACTTAGTAGCCCTGGGCCTCAGTCTCCTCAGTCGCCCTCAAACAGGAATGATCCCGTCGTGCCGCCTTCCCCGCAGGGTGGCTGCCTTTGAATCAGCTAATGAAAGTAGAAGTGCTTCAAAAAATAAACAAAAGATTCTACTCATTTAATGTATCTTTATCTTAAATCCATGGACCTCTGCCCAGTCCCCTCCCTGCGTGAAGTGGGAACAGCCAAAGGGGCTCTTTGGAAATGACCTAAAGTGTACCGCTGTCTGAATTCCCAGGAAGTGACGAAGAGAAATGTGTTTTGTACACACATTAATACTGTACACTGTGCCCCCAAGAGGAGGCTGTGGAGGTCCTTTGTCAGCTGTAAAGTATTATGCAGCTCTAAATTGTGGTAATTGAAGTTACATCTGACAGTGATTTTTTTACACAAATAGAGGGGAATGGTGTTTCTGTAACACAGTGGTTAAACACACTGGCTTTAGAGTTCGATAACCAAGACTTGAATCTTTGCTCTACCTTTTACCAACGGTGAGATTTGGAGCAGGTTTCTTACCTCTTTGAGCCTCACTTTCCTGGCTGTGAAATGGAGCTAATAATACCAACCATGTGGAGTTGCATGAGGATGCAGTGAGCTGAGGAGTGTGGAGTGCTGGGTCATTGTTATTATGATGGCTCGAGTAAGTGTATAAAATGGCATTTGATGCAAGAAAAAATCAACTCAGTCGTTTTTAACTAATTAATAATAATCAGCCAAGATAGGTCTGAATTAGTGAAAAGTCAAAGTTATATAGTATTTTTAAATGTTTTATACATATACATATATATATATAATGATATAAGTCATTGATTACTAAAGGATATTACTACATAAACCACTTCCTGGGCCTCCTTTACAGAATAGATTAACATCATTTATAATTTGCGTATGAATTCAAAGCTTTGGTTTTACAAGTATCTTATGACAGATATTTGAAACACTTTTCTTTTCTTAAGCAGGCCTTGTTTGTTGTTAGAAAATAAATGTTCTTTGAAAACCAGATTTTATGACATAAGATTGAATTTAAACCCAGCCCATGTTTATAAATTCAAGAACATTCAGCTCTAAATTAATTTGTGTTTTTTGTGTCCCAATAAATTCCAGATCTACCAGGTCACGGGTATCTTCTTAAATCATTAATCCAATTTTATGTTACTAGAGGCCTGTTTATTTTAACTTTAGAAATTTTGAGGGAACATGGATGAGGTTAAGTATTACAGAAAAGCAAGGGCCATTTTCAAACCAGTTGATCGTCTGAATCTCACTATTGGGCCTTCCTGTACCCCGTTCTAGTTACATCCAATCCCAGAGTCTCGACAAAGACTCAGGCATGGCTACTTTCCTTGTGTAACTGCTGGTATAGAGAGAATGGAGAGGGAAGGTGGTGGTAGTGGTGGGACTGTAGACTGTATTATATCAGAATTTTACAGAGTAGGTTTGGGGCATTGTAATTTGCACTGTGGTCCATTTAAGTTCATACCACAATGAGCCATGGTAGCTCCGAGATTGCCTCTGATTTCCTCCCCTTGGATGTTGGCTCGGGAGGCAAAACATACCAAGTAGATGGTGGTTGTATCACTTGTGAATGTTTTCTAAGTGGAGACATACCCTCTGGGAATAGGCAGTCTTATAAATTATTCGTGACTGGGATTAGATTTTGCTCTCATTCAACACTTTACCAGTGTCTGCTGATAGAAAAATGAACAAAAGAATTTTTTCCTGAATATATTCCTCTGACATATCTGCATCTTATAAGAGTAGTTGAATTGCTTACAAAATTGAAAAGGGTATTGTTAGGTTGATAACCAGGCGATCAGTGTGAGTAGTTACCACAATATTACCCAATAAAATTGTACTGAATTAGTGAGTTAACTCCATATCTTGGCCAGCAGACTAAGAAGGCACTGTCTCTCTAAAGCCAGAGAGACAGTGGAGGGTTCTTTGTTGGTAGTTCTTAAAATTAATAAAAAAAAAAAAAAAAAAAAAAGATTTTCCTGTGTGTAATTAGCCATGATCAGGCTGCCAGAATTCCAGACAAAGACACCTTTAATGATCATTTGCAGCAACGTATTTCCCCACACTGAGCTGGATTTGTCCTTGGTTTGACTAGGCTGATTTGTGAAAGATTTGTCCACACAGTTGGATGTCTCTCTTCTTGAACTTGGAAGTAATCTTGTGAGTGGGGTTGAATGTGGAGGGAGAGGTCCATGGTCCTTTAGTAACTTGACCTGGTTTAGCTTTGG